TTCTTCTCAGACTCACTAGCTCTTGGCCTCACGGTCCCCTAGCCCCAGCAAGTTCAATGGCCAAGCCCAGTGACAATCCAAAGGGCAGTGTATGCCTTCGTGGGAGTCAGTGTATGAGATTCTAGAATTCAAGGAGAGAAGTAACTCACTGACATCTAGACTCCAATAGCTCAGTTACTCTCCCAAGACTGGTTATTTTCCCGAGATCACCAGCCGAGCAGGGACTCAAACTCAGACCCATCTCCAAAGCTTATGCTTTGTTTTTTTCTCAAATTCATGTGTTTTTTTAATGAAAACTTTTGATGTTACATTTTCAAATTATTATACATTTACTTGCTTGAAAAGTCAAGAAAATATATATTATAAGGTATACCTTGAAAAGTTTCTCTTCCAGTCCTCATCCCCATTCTTCCCAAAACCTTACACAGGCTTTCACCATTGTTAATTTTCTGTGTATCTCTCAGAGTTCTGGTATCTCTCAGAGTTCTGGGTGCCTCTGTCAGCTAACCCAAATATATAAACTTATTTCCTCCCCCTTTATGACCCAAATGTAGCACACCAAACACATAGTTCTTTGCCTTGCAAAGCTGTGCTTTTAATCAACTTTAATGTGTTTGTATGGTTCTCTTGAGGAGCAGATACCAAGACAGAGTTAAATATGCAAGGGTTTTATTTGACTCCATACCAGTGAGAGAAGAGGGGAAGGCTGGCTCCACATGAAATAGAAGAGGAAGGAAGAGAGAACAGAGGCATTCCTGACTGCCCAAGCAGGCTAAGGGAGCTTGGTCAAGACCACGAAAGGAAGGGGGACAGTCCTTAAGCCCAAGTCTACCACTAGAGGGGTCCCAGTCTCCCAGAGGCAGGCCTGCCACACTCAGTCTCCTGGCCAAGAGCAGCCGCTGGGAGGTGTGCCCTCAGAGCAAACGTGGTGGGTGTCAGAGTTCAATAGCTGGGGCTCTTGGTCAGGACACCCCCCCACTCTGCCCTGTAATTGGATGTCTACGAAGCACTTGAAATAAGCTGTATTTAAGAAATCAAATAATTAAAGAACCACTTGCTATGCATTTTGCACTTACTACATAATAATCACACGCAAACATTTCTGTCAATGATCTCATATCAGGGCTCAACACCCTCCACGTCCACGTGGCCTAAAAGGTACAGACAAATGCACAGCTCCTGAGATTATAAGAATAAGAAGAAAATTCAGGGCAACTCAAGGTATTTCTTTCTATTAATGTGATACCATGGGACAAATTGGTACCTGCACTTTGAGGTAGCAGTGGAGTGTGTGTGTGTGTGTGTGTGTGTGTGTGTGTGTGTCTGTCCACAGGCTTCTGGAGAAATGAAACACAGTTGAATATAAAAACATACATATAGTCCACTCTTTCTGCTACCATCCCTCCTGTAAACCATTCCTTTCTTCCTTCCACCACAAGAAAATGTTATCATTCTTTCTTACTAGTAAAGAAGACCAGAAATACAAATCACCACAGTATAAGGGTTTTTTAAGGTAATATTTTCTATTTCATTTTACAAATACGCATGTGTGTGTGTGTGTGTGTGTGTGCACGCAGGCATGTAAGAATTGTTAGGAAAGTAAATTTTTTGCTTCTAGCCTTCATTAATAAATACCAAGTAATGACTATTTAAAATACTGACTCAGGAAGTCTTGAATATGATACATTAAATCACAAGTAGAAGGGAGACTATGGATCATTTATTCCACCCACTTCACTTACTAGATAGAGAAGATGATTCACAGCAAGACTGGTATTTGGCTCAAGGTCATACAGAATGCTAGGGTAGCATCTGGGGTAACTGGAAACACCAGAGCGTGTGGGAAATGGCAGGACTCCTGAAATGGGCACGTGCTCCTTAAAATGCTCGGAATCATCCCACCCTGTAGTGGCCACACCAAGCCTTTCATTTTGCAGTTATGGGAACACTGCAGGAATTCTCTTCCCGTTTGCTTAGCATTTCAAAGATGTACTAATCCCTCAAACACATGTTAACATGGATTTTCTTTGATGAAAAGGGACCGAAATATTCTCCAGAAAGGAGCTCCTCCTTCCTTCCTCCATCCGGTTTCAGAGTGAGAAAGCCTATAAGAGTACCCTCCAGCTCACTTAGCGTCTTTCAGGATGAATCCTGGGGAGTAGGGTGAAAATTGGCTAAGGTGATGCTTTTTGGTGAAACGAAATACTTTCCTCCAGAATTCCTCTCCCTAATTATGCATAACTTATTTTTTCCCACTTTTTATTGCTGGTTTAAACTTGACTTTCCCTCTCTTATTCCTTAGCTATGACACTTGCCTGTCCTTCCTCCTCCCCCCACTATCCAATCTTGACCTGTCCTGGGGAGAACACACATGCTGAGACCTGAACGCCCAAAAACCACCCACACCAACTGACCAACTCATGAAATGTAGTTACATGAGGAGCTAAAAGCATGCATTAGATCCCAGATCTCTACTTGTTAGCCATATGACCTTGGGACAGTTGGACCATAATTTACTTAACATACTCTCTTTGAAGTACACTCAGGATATTTGAACTATTTTGCTGCAGTGAGCATCTGCCGTCTAAAATCTGTGCCCTGATATATTTCTTCAGAAGAGGTTCCTAGCAGTGGAATTGTTTGGTCAAGGGCATATGTGTTTGAAATTTTGATAGGTGCTGCCAAAATGTCCACCAAAGCCATAAACAAACAAGACAAAGAAGAGATATGTTTATTCCAGATGACAGAAATATTTTCATAGTGGTAAAAGGTCACACTTTCATGCATCTTTGAATTGGTGAATGAGGTCCAAGGTCACACTCTCTAACCTTCCCCCTTTTCCATTTCACATGCAAGAGTTTTTTAAACTTGGCCTGGCATTTACCTGTTTGAGTGTGGCATGTATCTGTTGGAGTCCTCAAAGAAGATGCAAACTCAAAGCCAGTAATTTCTTGTCAATCTTTATTTCAAAGAGCTGGAGTACATCTCTCAATCCTATTATAAAGGCTTGTATTACCTAATTGCATATCTTCAATTAGAATGAGTTGAGCTATCCAGACTTTTCTTAGTGTTTTCCTCTAGGTTTCTTCTCAAATATCTTTTGTATTTTTATTGCTGTTTTACATTACACAACAACATGGTGTCTCTATAAAAATTCAAAAACATAGCAAAGCATGAGTCATCCTTCCCAATCTTGCTGTACTCTATATCTCAATATCTATAACTATATCTTATATATTCTTAGCTTTTCAATCCATATTTAATACTCAATTTCTCCATGTACTGACAGTATTCAGATTGTTCAAGTTGAAGTGGCAAAAGCAGTGAAATATAGGGACAACTAAAAAAGAAATAGAAACTCCCTGAACAGTTCTCTCTGTGACAACTGTGGGAGTATTTTGATAAGTGTTGGCAGCAGGACACTGCATGTGATGTGGGGAAGGAAACTTTGGCATTCAAACAAGCAAATGGTTTGGCGACAGTTTATTAAATTTCTGCAATGCTTGCAAATGCCAGTAACAATTTCTCAGACTGCAGACTTACTACATGTGACAGGTTTGGGAATGTTTCACAATTGTCATCAAATAAATTCTCCTTCAAAATTTAAAAATTATGTGAACTCGGAATAATTGCCGCTACCGGAACACAAGCTTACTGGAGTTTATGTGTTTAAAGTTGCATATTTTAGTTGCTCCTCTGCCATAGAATCAGAAGCTAAGCAAAAACACCCAAGTAAAATTATAATTCAATCTCACTGGTAGGTTTTGAATAAACCAGTAGATCTTCTTCATATCAAAGTCCACAGTCCTAAATATATATCTGTAAATGCCTACATTAAAAAATATTTCAAAGCAATAGCTAACATTATGCCTTAAGGAACTAGAATAAGAAAGAGCAAACAAAACCCAAAGGCAGCAAAAGGAGGGAAATGATGAAGATTTGAACAGAGATAAATGAAATAGTGAACAGAAGAACAATAGAGGAAATGAATCCAAAAGTCAGTTATTTGAAAAGATAAACAAAATCAACAAACTTTTGTTGCTAAGCTGACCAAAAAAAAGAGAGAAAACACAAATTACTAAAATTAAGAATAAGAGAGCACATTATTACTAACCTTATAGTAATAAAAAAATTTTACACTTGATCTTAGCTGAAAGACAGAGAAGTGATAGTAATAAAATAGATTTTAAGGAAAGCTATGAACAACTGTATGCCAACAAATCAGATAACTTAGATGAAATGTACAAATTCCTAAAAAAACACAAACTGCCCAAACTAACTCAAGAAAAAAAATTAAAAATCTGAAAAGGCCAATAATAAGTAAAGAGATAAGATTAGTAATTTAAAATTTTCCTACTAATAAAAGACTAACTTCAGATGTCTTTACTGGTGAAGCCTACCAAATGTTTGAAGGAAAATTAATACTCATTAATTTTCTTTACAAACCCTTCCAAAATATTGGAGAGGTAGGAACTTTTAATTCATGTTATGAGGCCAGAATAATCTGATACCAAAACCAGAAAAATATATCACAGGAAAAAAAAACAAACTGTAGACCAAAATCCCTTATAAATATGTACATAAAAAAACTTAAACAAAATACTAGCAAACTGTATCCAGCAATATAAAAAGATTACATACCAGGACCAAATTTATCCCAGAAATTCAAGGGTGATGTACTATATGAATATGATTCAATGTAATTCACTATATATAGAATAAACATATATATATACTTTTTTTAAAAAAAAGATAATCTCAACAGATGCAGAAAAGGCATATGATAAAATCCAACATCCTTTCCTCATCAAAACATTCAACAAACCAAGAATGGAAGGGAACTTGCTCAACCTCCACAAATAACATCATACATGATGGTGAAAGACTGAATACTTGCCCTTAAATCAGGAAGAAGAAAGAAAAAGAATGTTCACTCTCTCCTGTTTAACATTGTACTGAAGGTCATATCCAGGACAATTGGCCACAAAAAGGAAATAAAAGTGCTCCCTTCAGCAGCATATATACTAAAATTGGAACAATACGATGAAGATTAGCATGGTGTCTGCCCAAGGATTACACGCAAATTCATGAAGTGTTGCATTAAAGAAAAAAGGCATCTGGATTGAAAAAAAAGAAGGAAAACTATCTCTATTTGGAGATGACATGATTTGGTACATAAAAATCGTAAGGAATCCATTAAAAAGTTATTAGAACTAAGAAGAGAGTACAAGAAGGTTGCAGGATACAAGATCAATATATAAAAATCAATGGTATTTCTATAGACTGGCATTGAAAATTCTGAAAATAAAATTAAGAAAACAATTCCATTTACAATAGCATAAAAAAGTAAATTACTTAGGTATAAATTTAGAAAAGGAAGTGCAAGACTTGTACACTGAAAACTACAAAGCATCACCGAAAATAATTAAAGACTGAAAAAAATGGAAAAATTTGCTATGTTCATGGTTCAGAAGACTTAATATTATCAAGATGGTAATACTCCCCAAATTGATTAAAAGATGCAATATAATTCCTATCAAAATCCCAACTGGCTTTTGAAGAAATGGACAAGCTGATTGTATAATTCATACAAAATTGCAAAGAACCCAGAAAAACAAAAAAAATCTTGAAAAATGAATAATAAAGTTAGAAGAGTCATGCTTCCTGCTTTCAAAACATAACTACAAAGCTACAGGACTTAAGTTGATGTGGCACTGGCTTACAGATAGATACAGAATGATGGAAAAATTGAGAATCCAAAAATAAACCCTTACATTTACGGTCAGTTGATTTGTTTGTTTGTTTGTTTGTTTGTTTTAGGTACTTCATACACTATTTTTTCCTTAAATAGTTTATTGTCAAGCTGATTTCCATATAACACCCAGTTCTCATCCCAACAAGTGCCCTCCTCCATGCCCGTCACCACCCTTCCTCTCTCCCCCATCTCCATCAGCCCTCAGTTTGTTCTCAGCATTCAAGAGTCTCTCATGGTTTCCCTCCCTCCCTCTCCACTATTTTTCCCCTTCTTCTCCCCCATGGTCCTCCATTAAGTTCTTCCTAATCCACCTATATGTGGAAACATATGGTTTCTGTCCTTCTCTGCCTGACTTATTTCACTTAGTATAACACCCTCAAGTTCCATCCATGTTGCTACACATGGCCAGATTTCATTCTTTCTCATTGCCATGTAATATTCCATTGTATAGATAAACCACATCTTCTTGATCCATTCATCAGTTAATGGACACTTAGCTCTTTCTGTATTTTGGCTATTGTTGACAGTGCTGTTATAAACATTGGGGTACGTGTGGCCCCTATGTATCAGCACTCCTGTATCCCTTGAGTAAATTCTTAGCAATGCTATTGCTGGGTCATAGGGGAGTTCTCTTGTTAATTTTTTGAGGAACCTCCACACTGTTTTACAGAGGGGCTGTACCAGTTTGCATTCCCACTAACAGTGTAGGAGGGTGCCCATTTCTCCACATCCTTGCCAGCATCTAGAGTCTCCTGATTTGTTCATTTTAGCCACTCTGACCGGCATGAGGTGGTATCTCAGTGTGGTTTTGATTTGTATTTACCTGATGATGAGGGACGCTGAGCATCATTTCATGTGTCTGTTGGCCATCTGGATGTCCTCTTTGGAGAAGTGTCTGTTCATATCTTCTGCCCATTTCTTCACTGGGTTGTTTGTTTTTCGGGTGTGGAGTTTGGTGAGTTCCTTATAGATTTTGGATATTAACCCTTTATCTGATATGTCATTTGCAACTATCTTTTCCCATTCC